CCAAGCAACCGCCATACAAAGCATAGACGGACAATGATGCTTTTATCTGTTGGTCGCATGAGGTCGCTCCTCTTGCTAGTCAGGACTTCGTCCCTGAAAACTCAAGAGGGCACAGACACCCACAGACGCATCGTTATCCCACCTGCGCAGCGCGGCTGCTAAGATGTCAGGAACTGCTACTCGAGGCAGAGCTCGAGCTAGCCGAAGAAGAGTCGGACGAGGAGGAAGCACTGGGTGCTTCCCGTGATTCTGGAAAGCAGTGCTTGCATCTGGCGCCTTTGCGGCTTTGCTTTACCCAAGAGAAGCAAGCCTCGCCCGAGGCGAAAGGCCAGAGGCAATAAGTGCGCCAAATGCTGGGATTTAAAGCCACAGCCGGATCATTGAGGTCCGATAAGCACCGATGAATCTTGCCTCCTCGGGACGTATTCATAATGAATTGCTCGGGTTGGCCTTGAATACTACATCGACGCGTGGGAGCGCGCTGGACAAGGCCACGCGCGCCCATCTCCGGGAGCCAACTTTGGTCAGGGATGGCCAAAAGAGGTTTGGCCTGACTAAGTAAAGACTCCAGCTCGCGACGAATACGGCCTAAGGCTTCTCGGTGCCCCGACTCGATGGCTAACTCCGCTAGCTGCTCAAGCGGTGCTTCGCGGATATACCGAAGGATGGCATCCGAGCCCCATCGACCGAAGATCTGGATGCGCCACAGCTCGATGCCGCGGGCTGCCAGATACTGTGCACCTGTTGCCCTCGCCGAATGGCCGGTGTAGGCTCGGGCACCATTTGGCCAACATGTAGGAAGATCGAGCAAAACAGCCAGCTGTTGAAACGTGTCTGCCCAACCCGCCTTGGCTGGGGGAAGACCCCTGGCATCTGTAAACACAGGATCGGCAGGGCCTTTGTCACGGATGAGCTCCACGACTAGGTGGTAGGGGCAAAGACCAGCTGGCAACACTGAGCATGAGCATGAGTGTCGCCTCGTGGTCCCGAGTGCTGCTACGTCTGTCTTGGACGATGGCAGCAGCCAGGAAACCGTCCGCGTATCAGCCTGTAGAGTGATATGGCGAACGCGGGCGCGCGAAGCTTCTAGCTCCCTCAGGAGCCACCAGGATGCCACGATGGTGGAGATGACAGGTTTGATGGGCCCCGACGGCGCCAACACCCTTTCCTCGCGGATTTCGTGGAGCCTTCCCAGTGGCAGTGCCGCGGCCTGCTTCGCGGAGCCGAGGCCCCGTTTGCACGATCGGGCACAAACTTTGTAGGCCAGAGCGTGTTGTTCGGTCCAACAATGGCCCAAGCGTATATGCTCTTGTTTGGCTAGGTCCAGATACTGCATCGCAGATCTGTAGCCCCCAATTTTCAGTCCGCCCATGATAGTGTACATGCCTTCTGGTGTAAGCCTAAATGGCTCCAGATTGGCCTTAATAGACATGGTCTCCCACTGTCTTAGCCTGGACTCCACCGGGCCAACCGAAGTCGAAGCCCGAGACTCCGAAAGGAGAGTCTGGCGACAGTGGGCAGGATCCGAAAGGGCATCTAGGGACTTCACAGCGGAACCTCTCCCGTAGGCTCTCGCCTCTCCATGCCTAGGTGGTTCGCCCTCTTGGCCTCTTCCCTCACCCTCTCGCTCTAC